TACACCCCAACGCTCATGGCAATGGATGGTACATTTGTAATCTTAGGCTTGTGACTTGTCCAAGTTCAAAGGACCATACACTGACTACAGTCTACAGTGACTGAATGGTCTGATGGCCGTCCCATATCTCTGCTCGAGGATCACCGGTGATGGATTTGCAGCATGGGAACTTAGCTTCACAAATCAGATCAAGGAGTCACTCTGCTGGATTGGTGTCAAGAGAAGAAAATTGTGTGTCGGACCTGTCGGGGAAATTGGAATCCTCCTTTTTCACCATTCACGACAGACGATCAGTATTGTGACTCATTGGTAAGATGCATCTACTGTGACTGAATGATTTGACCGGCGTCAAATCAACGAGCGAATCTGCCCGGTTCGTGTCAGGAGAAGAGAAGAATTGCGCATCAATGGTATGATGGAATTGCCACCGTGCACGATAACAGAAGACAGGTCCGCCATGTGACTTGTCTGAAGGTAGATATATGCTGTGAGAGGATGACTTCATCTGCGCCTCTGTATAGCAAGACCCAGCAAGGCGACTGGTATGAGAACTGGTCCACCATTGGCTGACCTATCCCAGTCGTCTCGTACTAGTTATGGGTTCTCTCCGTTCTCTTCAAATCACCAAGATTGCACTCCTTTTCAGTTCTCTTCAAGTCACCAAGATCGATGGCGGCCAGGTGACTAATATTGTAATAATTTGGCCAGTTGTGTGTGTCAATCTTGTGTCGGCTGATCTATGATGCCAAGCTTAAATATACGTTCATAATACTTCGTATCAACTGTGATTCCGGCTCCTGCTTGGGTGCGTGCTGCCTCCAGATCGCTCTCGAGCCAGCAGCTGTATTCTGCATACCAAGGCCCTTCAGTTTCGGCCCTGATGGACTGGGCCGCAAGCAGAGAACATTGAGCGTGGAATGGTGATATGAATGCACTCTTCAAATGGTCTTCAAATGGGATAGGTACAAGTTTTCTTGACCCTCTGCACAGATCGGACCAATAATACTGCCTGAACCTGGCTTGGAGGTTAGGTTTTTTATTTTTCTCAGTGAGTTATATGTAATGAACCCAGTCTGGAGGAAACTGGGGCCCACTCTGCTCTGCTGGCGAGCCGCGCATCGAGATACAAGATAACTGAGCGCTGATTCGCTGAATAATGCCTCCAATAATCATGAAATGCGATCTGTGATACGTCGTCTCGTAACCAGTGGACGAAAGAGGAGAGGGGGAGAATAGACGTAGAGGGTGGAAGAGAAAGTATGCATCAATGCCCAACAGGGCATCTTAGAGCAAGTTATTACATATAGATAAACTTGTTGCTGCTAATGGCCCCTTGTTGTTCTCTTCAATGTGCGGGCGAGCACAAGTGGGGCCCCAACTTGTCCGAGGGCCACTATTTTGCCACTCGGCAAAGGTGTACTAGTGGTTTAAGGCTATACGGGTTTTATGTGGATGCGATGTCAGGGTGCTTACACTGGGCATCTCAGTCCACTCACTCAAGCTCAACTCACGCTGAAGATTATCGGGCAATACATCCGGGAAGTGCCTGCCCAACTCAAGCTGAAGGGAATACATTGGCTCTGTGGAAGCATGCGATCAAAACCAAAAAGTGGGTGCAGATTATGCACATCCCAGGCAAGTTGGCTCTGCCCGTATACAGTTCCGTGTGGGTGATTTACCAGTGGGTGAGACGATCTTGGCTTCGAGGCGATGGTCCGTAAAATTTTGGCACTAAACGAGGGTTACCCCAAGGCGCAGAACGGGCATCGACCAGGCTTGGCGTAACCATTCGTCTTGTTTGTTGAAACTGATGCATGCGACTGATGCCAGGTGGCAGGAAATCGAGTGAAATCTGAAACTGACAGTTTGGGAGTTTGAATTTTGGGAAAGAAGGTAGCTAGCTTGTAACGAGAATGACAAGGGCGCAGTTATCGGCCTTGACAAGGGCGCAGTTATTGGCCTATATACGCCCACCACCTATTGCAGCTCATGCAGCACGTACTGTGATCAGTTGTCGGGAGAGGAGTGGACATGAGTCAGGCGGGCTCAGCATGGCGTGAAACTGGCAAACCTGGGTTATCAGCTTGGTTTGTGAATATTTGTGAGTGAAAATGGTTATAGAAATTCAGGAAGGGTCGGGTCTACCAGCAAAATATCGGACTGAACGTGAAAAGGACTGCAATCAAGTGGCCCCGGGATCGAGAAGTGGCGCAACGCTACAGGTGGACAGATTTTCTTTGGACATTCATGTGACGCAATATATATGTTGAACGATTTCTGAACCGATGAACTTCTCTCTCTAGTAAAAGAAGACTAGTACGCAAACAGAACATAGAGACCGACACACACACATACACACAACTGGGCATGTGTGTGTGTGTGTGTGTGTGTGTGTGTGTGTGTGTGTGTGAGAGAGAGAGAGAGAGAGAGAGAGA